CGACTAACATATGCTATTATATGTTCCACTCCATCCCATGATTGTGATAATGCTGCTCAATTCCACTTTCAATGGCATCAATATCCAAGAATACAAAGCCCTCTTGTAAATATGCCAAAAGTTGAGCTTTAAATAAAGCTTGCTCACATATCTCAATCCATTTAAGGTGCACACCAGATCTAATGAGAACAGATAATGGTGCAGCAATCTTGAAGTTGACCACAAAACAACAGTTAAATTATGCAAAAATCAAATCAACAGCGAATGACTAGCCTTGTGCAACTGCGATCTTCATAGCATCAATAATGATTCCATTTCCACCCGCAACATGACAAGAACTTTCACCTGCATGCCAATAAGTAAACACTTTCTGGTTTCAACTTTAATACCACTTTCCTTACCAAGTGAAGTACCATGATCAGGATTAAAGCAGCACACTCAAACATGCAAACACCAAGACATCATCAACACAGCCCAGGTATCTCTTCCATTATAAACTCTTCAGTGCTAGCTCCATTAGCCTCTTGAAAGTGGTGGACATATCACATAGGCTGAATGGCAGGATGCAAAACTCATACAAATCATTTCGAATTCTGAAAGCAATTTTAGAGGTGACGTCATCATCCAGTTCGACTTACCAGTATTTGGATGCCAGTTCTAAAGCATTGAACTATAGGAAACCTTACAATGTATCTAGATGATAATTTATCTCTGGAAGTGTAAAGGCATTAATGTGAGCTACTGCTTTCACCTGTCTGAAATCAACACAGAACCTTGGTGTATCCTCCTTCTTCTTGACAATCTCTACTGAAGATGGCAATACACTCTTTGAAGGCTGTATGAGTCTATACTTTAACATTTGATATATTTTGGAGTTGGCTAAATCCCTAGTGCTTTAGGGAAGCTTGCTTGGTGGTCATTTAATTAGGTGTGCATCGTCTGTATTTACGTGATGCCAAATTAGCTTTGTTTGACCCAGTCACCTATCTCGTCCATAAATAATTGATATACACAACCAACAAGTCATTGTGCTTCTGCTACCGTGTTTGATCAAGATTGCTTACACAATCTTCAACTGCAGATATGTTATCAACCATGTGTTCTCTCTTTGGCATGGCATGATGAAAGCAACAGTGTCAGTATTGCTAATTTTGGTACTTACACTTTGCTCATCATATTAATAATTATTCCACAAGGAAGCTGAACAGCTGACTACCCATAATTTCAGAACGTCACTAGTACTTCATCCCTCCTTGGACAGACCACAGTTTGAGCTGAGGCTACTTGCTTTCTAAACTGAAACAGGGAATTTCACGCGTTGACTCTTTCACTGTGATGCATGATTCCAATGCAGTGAACTTCATCCATAGTCGATCATGGACCACCATCCACGTATATAAATATACCGCGACTCTCTCTGCAGCATACCTTCATGTTGTCCACAGTTCCTGGGCCTAGTCTTTCTCACAGAAATGCAGTTCATTTTTTGCACTGGCAAAACTGACTGATAATTTCCGCAGTACACCTATTATTCTGTGATTTACATTACATAGACATAGTCAAAGACATACATCCCCAATTATATCTAGTTTATCATCATTTATCAAAGCAAAATCAGCGTTAATTCATCAGAGTGGTGGCTTTAATCAGAGTGCCTGACATACAAGAAGATCAACACGTGTGTCCTTGCAGCTCCTGTATCAATCAGGAAGTACATCTTTTACCCCTACGTCTTTATGAACACATAATAAATGCCATCCAGTCATAAGAGAGTTGGGCTGACCATCAAACCTTTTACAACAGGCTGTCCACTGTATTCCCCTCATGTTAGTCAGTGCCAGACTTGACTATGGCTCTATTAGTACCCAGAGCTGAATTAACATCAGTTATAACTCCCTGACGATTATCTTGCCCCTCCATTCTAGAGCAACATCTGGAACGATGCATCACTGACATAAGCTACAGGTTGCCCAAGTGCTTAAATGAATTGTGGGGTGGACCTTCTAAACTCAGGGTTAACAATGAACCTTCTGTTCCCAACTCTGGCCATTTCAGGCAATGACTGATATGAAATTCTCCTGGAAATGGTCCAGATTCACTTTTGCTGCACCATTAAATTTCGGGGGTATAACCTGTTTAGCCTCTGTCACAGCAACATGTGAATTTCGAGTTTAAACCTCTCTCTCACAGAATCCCAGGCTAGGACATTTTAAATGTTAGGAGGTGTGGTGTAGTAGGCTTGAACAAGTGTTAGGTCCCTGCTTTTAGATGCATAATGGTAAGTTACAATAAGCAGATCACCCACTGGCTCTATTCAACTCCATGACCCATGTTCAGCCTGAGAGTACACCTGATGTCACAGAGAAGATTACCACTGTCTCATGGATCACCAACTTCACCTGTTTGTTGTAGTTGTCTCACCTCCTGGCAAAAAAAAGCTTCATATATTGAACGCCATTCACTTGCAGCTCACCAAGTGTCTCTCAACTGATTTTGAATTACACTGAACAGACCTTAGGTTGAGTCACTCTGGTTGGTGAATGTCTGGCAGTCCTGTAGAGACTGCCTCATTCAGTCTCAGACTAGTCAAACACATCACTTTACTAATGTGAAATTTAAATCTATCTGTAATATCAGCAAGCCAGAGGAAAAAAGATATTATATGAGTGAAATAATAATGTCATTATTCCCAGAATGCGAGTGCTACCATGTGAATGATCACTGTCACTACAAACTAATGAAAGTTATATCCTTAGATATCACCTGGTCTGCCAGTGGAAAAGACCACTGTGTATTTCTACTTAATATACTCCACTTTACTGCAGGAGCATCATTTCACATAAATTGAGGGGATGGGGCAAAGAAGACTGACCTAGTGTGCCCTCCCCCCAATTCAACTGGGGTCCCCTATATTATACGTGTTAAACCTGCCTAGCTAGGAATGTCTCACAAAAACTTCCATTTGGGGCCTTTTCCGAGCTTCAGGGGGCGGCCCCCAAAATGGTGCCCCTGTTTTACTGGAATCTTTCCTACCAAACTGTGCTTGGGACACTCTAGTTGAATAATCCAGTTTAATGGGTAACTAGGGTGGGTGGAACTAAGTGGCTTCCTTAAAGGAGATTTTATATTAAGATTTCATATATAATATGTACTAGAGGCCCAGCATGGCCAGGTGGGTAAGACGCTCTACTCGCAATCTGCGGGTCGCGGGTTCGCGCCCCCATCCCACCAAACATGCTCGCCCCCTTTAGCCGTGGGGGCGTTATAATGTGACGGTCAATCCCACTATTCGTTGGTAAAAGAGTAG